GGCATCATCGCTGAAAAATTTAGCTCTTGAAACTCAGTAAGCCGTTTATATTGACCAAAAGTTGAGCGGAGGGCGCGAAACACATTCTGTACAGAACGAGAATTTTCATAAAAAGTCTTTCCATGATGAAATTCCAAACAATACTGCCAAAAAAAAGGCTATTGAAAAAAGTATCTCTTCTTAAATTATATTATTTTGGTGAATTACAGTAACAACTCTCAAAGAAATCACTAATTTTGTAAAATATCGACACTTTAAAAAATTTGAAAAAAGTTCGGATGGTGAAAAAAATATGGTTAGTTCTTTAAAAGAAGGTCTCAAACTTCTTCAGCATATTTTTAAGACACTTTTGCTGAGAACAAAGCCGAAAAATGAAACATATGTAAGTCAGTTGGTATTGATTTGTAGTTAGTTTGAAAGAAGTACTATGCAATTGAAAGTTTTTGAAAATATATTTAATTCCAAAAGAAATAAAACCCATAGCTCTTTTCGAGTTCTTTTTTTAGGATTTTTTATACATTATTTAAACCAAAGTTACTTTCATAATACATTTATTGCGGAACATTTCAAATAGTGGCGTTATAATAATCCTCGGCGGGAATGACACGTGGACCGCCCTGGTAGGCGACAATGAAAATATTTTCAATTTCCAATTCGCTAAAATCGAAGTTATGACCTGCAAAGAGAAGAAGAATAATGAAATAAAACCCATCAATTAAAAGAGCTGTACAATAATTGTTCTTTGACTGATTGCTACTGACAATTTGTGACTTTCCGTTACTAAATAATATAATATAAGGTAATTCATTTCAAGCATAACTTTACGAGTATATTTTCAGTTCGTGCGAATATATGCAGCCGTCTTCGTTTCGCCAAACTGTGCGGAGTAGCGAAACGAAAAGACAAGTGGTATAAAAGCAAAAAACTGGTATAATTAAATACCACTCTAAGAATTTTATATTATATATTATTGAATTTTCACTTACTGTGCGCCGCCCATTTCTCAGCATTCTTATGGCGATTATAGAATGCTTGCAGCTGGTCATTGTAGGTGGGGTCTGCTGTATCCAACTGCATTATTTTTGAAAAAAAATAAATAAAATAAAAATTAATTACGCAATCGCCACACTCACTCACAACAACAAAACCTACCTTTTTCACGCTACCGCTAACCATAACGCGTGGGCATGCCGGTTCCATGGGATCGACGCCACGTCTTTGACAAGCGCCATTTTGATCGTCGGTAAAGAAGAAGGTGACCTTGTTCTTTTGCTGCGTATCGCGTCCAGTGAAGTCTAGATTCAGCAAGAAGAAGCGTATGTGTCCGGTTGAGGAGCCATTCAGAGCGCTATCGTCTACCGCCATTATATTGACCATTGGAAAGTCGATGATTTTCTCATGGGTGGATATGCTGCCCACTGCAGCCCAGTTGGCTTGATGCACCAGGCGACGTGCCAGCGCAGCATCAGACAAGCCTGACGGCTGACGTCCGTGCGCTGAATATCCTGCACAGCTATCAACTGCGAGCAGTGCGATGAGTAGGCCGCTAATGATTGTGATTGCTTGCAACATGGCGATAGGAGTGACTTGTAATGTCGAATGTGAAAACCCTCCGTTTATATAGTAAGCGTTCACTATATTTCGATATGTTTCTGTGTACATACCTATATATTTATTGAACTGAGACAATGTGTATGCGGTGTGGCTGCATCACCATCTTTATTAATCTGCATCATTATACTGCTGATTATACATACATACATGCACATGTACTATATGTGCATATGTATGATGGGTGGCTATTTCTAAGAATTTAACAATAACAGTTGGGGTTTTTTCCTTTCCGCATACAGTGAATGCGAAAAATTACAGCGCCGTAAGTTGAACTTCTATACTTTATACAGTAGCCGTTTCTCTAGCTTGAAATTTAAATGCCTTAGTAGTTTCCAATGGGTGATAAATAAGAAAAAACGTTAACTTGCTATCCCTTTTATTTCAATTTCGAATGGCAGTCTGACAGCTGCTTGTCCAAAATTTAATTAATTTTAAAATTATTATATGCTTAATTAAAATTAATTTTAGAGTTCACTTCTTAGACACACTGTATACTACAGCAAAGCAAAATCACCTGCATACATATGTTGTTATGGGTTGTCCCTTAGTTTGACATGGTCGACTTTACTGATAAAGGCTGATTAAGTAATTGTAATTGCACATACAATACACATACATACATACATACATATGTATATACAAATGGCTATGTCTCTTATGGTATGACACTTTTAACAAGTTTAACTCCATAAAACTATACCAAACTGTAGTGTTTACACAAATAACGGCTAATAAATTTTTAAACCCTAAACCAGATAGCGATCTGAATTTTTAAAACCGTACTTTTCTCCCCAAGAAGCTGCTCGCTTGTCGGAACCACCTATATCGGATAACGGGGCTTCATTTCGGCTGTTGCTGTTGTTGTTACGGTTATGCAATCCCCATTGGGATGGTAAGGATTGTCCAAGGTCGTCGACGTCTCAATAGACGTACTATTTCGAAGGGGTCGGACCAACGGGGGAGCTGGCAGTCGTGAAAATCGCTGCGTTATGCACGTCCTACATATCTAGAATTGACCCTGTTATACGAAATAAAGGTCCTGCGTGCAATGTGTAAGGAGTATCCGCATGACTCAAACCATCTCTTTGCATTTCGATGTAACCGAAGTTAAGATTTTTCTTGTTTGAGAGAATTTTTTTTCTCAGTTCTGAAAGATTTTTAAATTTTTGCCCCTGCCTACCTTGTGTCGACCATTTATCCAACATTTTTAGGTTATTATTGCATAATCGGTTCACTGACACATTTCAGGCGGCCGTCGTAAGGAATGAGGGTAGAAAATCAGCGATACAATGGCGCTCATGTATAGATAGCAATCGCGCAAAAATCAGTACATTCTTTTCATTTGATTATATATGTAAATATATGATTTTTAATTTTATTTTACTATTAATACAAATAGTAAATGCTTAGTTTAAATATATAATTTCATAATATTTCATTATCATACCCACTAATCTAGTTCTACCTTCCGTATACGAAACGAGAAATGGCTTTCATATATACATACGAGTATGTATATCTCACATAATCCTATTAATTAATAGTAATTCCAGTGAATTTAGTTACTGTTATACTTCCTTGAATACACAAGCATTTCATTTGAAAAGTACAAATTTTAATTCTATAAGAATCATTTATTCTTTTAATTATATATATTTAATGCGTAGACTCATTACCCTTCTTATGTTACTTAATAGTAATCAGTTTAATTTCCAAATAGTTGCATTAATAATCATTAATTTGCGGGTGTTGTGGTTGAAAGTTCAAGCAGGCCGACGTCAGTTCAGCTTTCAGTCTATATAGAAAAATTAAAAACGTTTAAATATGAATACATACATACATGTWTTTAAATATTTGTTACCTTTGCGCGTCACTGTACTCGTATCGCTCTAGTTCACACAATATGAACTCAGAGAAGACTTGCTTCCACTTTCTACGCACTGGTACTTCATGATTATTGCCCAAATGCACTTTGCGCTTATTTCTGGCCGGCAATTCATCTGCTTTCAACGGATCCATCGTAAAATTGTCTAAGTTATGATCATTTGGGTGCACAAACTTTTCTGCGGAAGAATATTTATTGCCAGTTGGCATTTGCTGATTTAAAGTGTCATTGACAAATATCTCTTTTATGTTGGAATCAGAAAAATCATTATTACTAGTTTCATATTTGGGTTCTAGCAAACTGGGTATAGATTCTACATCGCTTTCATCTTGTGAATGACTTTCAAGCGATATGTAGTCATTCATTTGGATATGCTGGGAAAATTAAGAAAATTTATTTAATATTTACCACTTCAAACCAACATTTATTATATGAAAACGAAAAAAAATAAACCAAAAATAATAACCTACCACATCCTCCGCACTGTGCGCCGTTCGTCTGGGTTCGATTTTTGTTAAAAACTGCATTCCTAAATAAAATTCATAACCCGATTCATATTTGTTGCCAAGATGCTTTTTTTCATACAGCACTGCCTTCCGTCGCTCGGTCTGTAGATACAAAGTCACTTTACAGATACAAAACTGACAAGCCTTCTATATGCTTGTACTTACATTAAATCTCGAACGCAAATTGTTCCAATAGTTTTTCGCGTCATTTACACTGTGCTTTGTAACCTCGGCGATTTCTGCCCAAATTTTCTTTCTGATTTCGCGATTTCTATACGAATCAGAATCGGGGTCCCATATAGCTGGCCTTGATGCTATATAATCTATGAGTATTTTTTGTTCATCGTGTGTCCAAACTTTTTCGAGCCTGCGAAATCTTTTCCCCGTTGTTGCCGCACCGTTTGTTGACCTTTGTAAGCTGAAGAGTGGTTTATTTATTATTTTATCATTGTTATCAGTTATTTTTATTTACTTACAAACTATATCTGCTCATTTTGTTTGTCACACGAAAATGACCAATTGAAAGAAATTGGCTTTTTGACACAACTCAATCAATTGCGTGTGTCAAAAAAATGACTCAAAGTGACAGTGAACTGGTATTTTGACAGTAGAGTTGCATTTTGACATTGTAGCGTTTTGACATTCTATAATAACACCACAGCACAATTTTAATGCTTTATAATTTAACTTTTTTTAATACCAATTCGACAAGTTATATTCAATATCTAATGTCGAAATGTATAAAAATAAAAAAAAAAGAATTTATATAGAGCTATCACTACCGCTGTGTATGTGCATTTGTATGTATGTATATGTCAGTATTTAAATGTACTGGTTCTCAATTCTCCTTGCGCAAAGTCTACATAAGATAACTAATTTCGTGCACATATCAAACACATTGATGTACACATGTACATACTTACGTATGCATATACAATATATGATATTCTTTCATTAATATATCATAAAAATTAAAATAAACTTACAGATACATATAAATTTTGTATATATCGCTTTATTATAAAACAGTCTCACTGTAAGTTAAAAATATTTAAAAATGCTTTTTAAGCTGATAATGTGGATAGTAAAATAACAGTTTATAAAATATATGTTACACACATGTTCTGTTTCTATTAACACAAAATACAAGATGTAGGCCTATATTTAATTACGAAGCACCAAATGTGTAATGTTGAACATCTATTTATATCTCAGTTGTTGACTTTTATCACTAACCGGCATGAATTAGTTCGGTTTCGCATTATAATAATCGTTTAGAGCGACATTGTGAGGACCACCATAGAAGTCCAATACAAAAATATTTTCTATTTCCAATTCGCATAAGTAGAAACTATGAGCTACACAATGAAAATATACACAAAGAAAGTAATATAACATCAATATTAATATGTTGGGTAAAAAATGATATCAGTATTGTTTATATATGTATTTAATATTCGAAGAAAGTGCTTGCAATATTTTACCTTTAATCCAATACTTCGCAGCTGGATGGCGAACTGTGAATGCCTGCAACCAATCGTTGTAATTCTTATCATTTTTGTCCAACTATCGAATAAGCGATATATTTTCTATTAGTAATTCATAGAAGCAACTAAATTTATTTAAATTTACCTCTTTAACCTTTCCGCTAATTATGGTACGTGGGCATGTCGGCTCCATTGGATCAAGTCCATGGTTTTTGCAATTCAAAGTTTGATCATCGGAGAAGAGAAAGGTAACTTTATTAATATGCTTCCAATCAGGTCCAGTAAAATCCAAATCAGTTAACAAAAAATGTATGCGCCCTGTAGACGTGCCATCCACAGCGCTGTCATCCACCGATATTATGTTCACCATAGGATAGTCTGCAATTTTATCATTTGTGGATATGCTACCCACTGATGCCCAATTAGTTTTATGCACCAAACTGCGGGCAACTGCAGCATGATTGGTTTTACGTAAATAACGTTTATATTCGGCAATTATACGTGCATCTTCAAGCGCCGAATATGCTGCACAATAATTGAACATCATAAATGTTGCTAGCAGAAATGTAAATACACTGGTGATTGCTTTCGCCATGTTGTAGTCTATTTCTGGAATTATCCAACGATGCTTTTACTGTTTCCGTGCCTGCAACAGATTAAATCGTATGCATGTCGCAAATGAACAATAAAATTATATAAGTACATTTACACATTATATGGAAAAATATTTATGTGTGAAATGCGTATAACATACAACTTCCATGTTAGGAATCACAATATTTTTATTTGTTTAGGCTTATCAAATCAGACTGAGGTTTACAGCAACAAAACACATTTGAATCAACATATGCATGTAAATACATACACGCTATGAAATGTATGCAAATTCATATCTAAATAACTTTTCAGCTTTAAAATGATAATGAATGAATATTTCCCTTTAAAATAAAAGCAATATTTAGCATTGCAAATGAAACGAACACAAATATTCCTATGTATATGTGTACATTCACCTAAGAATAAAGGAGAAAGGCGCTTTTGTCACGTACTATGCTTTGCCCACAGTCAGCAGACCAAATTAGCGCATTATCAGAAATATTTGCGCAGATCAATTAGTACATTTATATGTATAAAAATTCACTTAAATAAACTGCGTCTTCCACAAAAACTTAAGACCACTTTAATATTTTCATTACACATTTATAGATATAATTATTGCGAGACTACCATTTCAACTATGTCTCTTCAATTTTTTGGAGCACCTTTGTTTTGTGTTACCTGTTTAAATTAATGTTGTTGCTGTTGCACCCTTCCACGATCTGTTCGGTTTTAGTTTTTGTTCCGCAATCAGTTCCATTATAACAATGGTAAGCGTTTTTATACCAACAGCGATCTTTGTTCTCGGTGCCAATATAATCTATCAGCTGATTTACATGTTCGTTTTTGAATTTTTTTTCGTAACAAACAATATTATTGCGGTATTGCTGTGCGCTAATTCGCTATACAAATTAACAGTGTTGCATTTTGATTGAATATTTCAAGGGGGAGTTAGTATCGACGTAACGTGAAACGTAAAATGGAGTGAGGTAGTATTTGATATTAAAACTTTAAGTAAATATTAAAGGATTTCTCTTGTTGTGACAATTAAAACGAAATTACTTTGGAATAATAATTTAATTTTTTGTTTTGTTTTGTCCTAAACAACAAACTTTCTAAGTATTATAATTTATAAATATATAAAAAACTTAGTTATTTGAATTTTTGACATAGATTTTGAGGTTATCTGAAGAAAGTGGTAGTACAAATTTTTTTATTACCTATATTTGAATTTTATGCAAAAAGGAGGCTGGATGGTTTTGCCAGAAATCGAAATACATAAATCACGTTTTAACCCTTCAAAAATTCTCCTCTTAGCTGCTTCTTCCCAACCTCTTATTGCATTTTCTTGTAATTTTTATTATTTTTCCTTCCTTTTCGAAGGTGTTCCAGCCAACTATGATTTTTTTTTTTTTTTCGCTTTGAAAAATTGTTTAGTCTACCTGTTCTAGAATAAGTACCCGACATTTAGCATCGTTATAAAAACAATATAACGTGCATAATGTACTTGAATATTTAAGATCGCAATTTCTGCCGGCCTCTCAGACATGTTGACTGTCTGGTAAATCGAAAAAATCAAATCCAAAAATAATTTACAAACAAATAGAAACTTTCCACGTACTTCTTCTAATTATTGACTATACAACTTCATAGTGTAACGAGTATAACTTTTCCCCTGAAGTGTTTACAATTATCTTGTAACTATTTCCTTGCGATTATTACTTGAATGTTCGACATAATTCTGTTGACATTCTATATATTTATGTACATATTTTGTACTCGAGTATGCTTTTGAAATAATCAATGCTATCTACTTCAGATTGGAGAACGGCCATTGAAATCGTTTTATAAATAAAAAGTTGTTATGTATATGACAATGGAATTAGGTTGAGTGGCTATTGCATTAAGCTTTCTTTAATAAATACTTATTACTAGTTCCAAACGAAGTCGGACATACATAGATATGTTTGTAGTTAGCGGCTGAGCACGCTTTTGTGCTGCTTTCGAAACAGCTGTTTTGCATATCAAGAATAATTTAATTGTGTAACGCATACTTTTCCAGTAATAATTAATCAAACATAAAACTGCTGAAGAGTAGGAAATTACGAGCTCAAAACAAGAGAAATACCACTACTAGTACAATAAGAGGACAAAAAGCTTAAAAAAGCTGCAACTGATTGGAATTATATTTTAATGGATAAGAAGAATTATGTGAAAACGGAGCGGAAATTAATGTGTAAATATTACAAACGATCGTTGAGAAGAAATGCATTTCATTTTCTTTCTTTCCAGATACTTCATTTTGAATATTTATTGTTATTATTTCATAGCTTGAAATAAATGTTGCTTACAAGCAGCTGTTTTTTTGCAATCAAATATATAAAATTTAAAAAGCTCTTATTTTCAATTATTGACAACCAATAAAAGATCATTTCAAATTAAAAAATAAAATAAAACTAAATAACTTAATTTCACGGTAAATGCCAAAATATAAGTAAATTACTATTTTTTATTAAATAGAATTATTAAACAGCGTCAAAAATCTCACGAAAGGCTCTTCAAAGGCTCTTTGTAAATGCAACGTTGTAAAATCTTACTCTAAAACAACCTTCGAACCAGCTTCAAGGCTCATTTCAGTACAATAAATATTTCATATTTTTTTCTTTGATTTTCACCAAAGGCAAACGTGCCAAATGGTTGTGTGGTGGCCCTGAAAGAGTTCATTATCGAGCAGGTTTGTTGGCGCTGCAGTCAGTTTCTAACAGTTGACCAGAATCCATAATGAAATTGCAAGCAGTTTTCTTGCAACATAGGCACACATACAACAGTATGTCTGCATGTGTACTCATAACCTGAAAAAAATGCTTGCGCTCAGATATTTGCATACTCCAACATTAACACATATGTATGTATGTATATTTACCATATAGTTATGTAAATTTAAATTTGAAAAATGTTTGCTGGGGCTGGGTGGATTGGACTGAAAGCACATATAATGACAGCAGTGGAGTGTTTAATGTTTTAATTTTTATTTTTAACTTTTTTTCGAGAGTGGGGGATAAAGGGTTACACGGATTTTTTCGAGTAAACATTTTTTTTTAATAATAAAAAATTAAATATTTTATGGCAACTTTTTATATTTCAAAGTTATCTATTTTATAAAGATTTTGTGGGGTTCCTACGAAAAAAGGCGACTCCGCGTTGGCGACAGAATTTCATGTAGGATCCTCTGAAGAAACAAAGAAAAAGCACGTGTTTTAAGTAAGACCGTATTGGACGAACAAAATGTGATATTCACATTTATGAAAGATATATTTACAAACAAGTGCAAATTTTGCTGAAAACTCCTCGACCTTATTTTCATTTATTTTTTTGTTTTAATAGTTGAAATTGAAAATATCCTTCATTGAAGAATTTGAAAATTGTGTCTCGAAAATCTGCGTAAAATTAACTCCTTATGGGATCATGTAAAGTGAAAAATACGTGTTTTAGTTAAAACCTTAACTTAGAATTTGGAGGAAGGAAAAACTGAAAATAAGTCTTTTGACGGATATTAAAAAAATTTAAAATTTCGCGACATTTTTTTTTCAATTATTATTTTGAAAAATTCCTTCCAAGTGTTTAAGAATTGTATCGCAAAGACCTGTGTAAAATTTCGTGAAGATAGGCTTAGCAGTTCTCGAGAAATCTTGCCAAAAGACTTCAAAAAACGCAGTTTCGAGAAAAACTCGTTTAAAGACGGCGCTCTTAGCCCAGCTGATCTCGAGCACACAGCTTTTCAAGATTGTATCTTAACAACTATTATTAGGATCAACTTGAGTATTTAGGGCCATATTCTAGTAATGTCATAGAATTAAGTAAGACAAAAAAAGTTTTGAAGCCGCGAAACGCGTGTAATCCCAAACCATGGTTACAAATAATATATTAATACTTGAATCATTTTTTTTTTCGTAAATCAGTAAATCTTAATTAAAATAGTTTTTTAAAAATCTACAATTTCAAATAACGCATAAATAGCAAAATAAAGAAATATTTTTTAAAACAAAAAAATAGTAATTTTGGAGTATTTATATTTTTTCGCATTTGCCTACTTTGAGCTCTTCATTTTTGGTTATTTTTAGAAAATGAAAGCTAATTTTAAACATTGTTAATCGATTTTAATTATAGTGTTCCAATTAAAGAAACGTATTGTTTTTTTTTTTTCATCCTAAATTTTAATGTGAGAATTTTTTT